CCGCTGCGGTAAATCATTTACCGCAGCGGGCGTCTCAGTGGCCGGCCGGACACCGAATTACCGTGGCGGGCAAAAACAGTGTCCGCCACGGATGCCAATTATGCAACGCTGCGCAAGTTCATTTGTGTAGTAGTGGTAATATCGAGAATTGTCTTTAAAACAAAATCACATTGATAGAAGAATGTCCTCACCACATATAGTGGCAACTAAAGTGTCTCAAGGCCGGTTCTTTTCCTATACCACTGAAAAATAATGGGTTTGGATGCGTGATATAAGGTATATTGCTGGCTAGCTGGTCAGCGTGTGGCGAGCAGCCGAGCATTGAAGCATTGCGTGCACGCAGGGATATTCCTTTATCGCGCGCGCACTCATACATTATATATGTAATGAAAATGAGGAAAAAGAACATAATCCACTGAATGATTGTTGGAAGTCCAGCTCCATTAACAAAGTATGTGGTGGCAAGCTATCTAGCTGTTGCAGCCACTTCGATATGCTGGTAGCCAGGTTGACCTTTGGGGTGGATCATAACTCATAGCTGGGGGTTCATCTTGTCGATCCATGTGGATGCTCAATCTTTGGGTTGACCAGCAGCTGGTGTTCATCATAGGCCAGCCAACTGTATGTCATCACTGAATAAGTTGCAAATCAGCGGCATCAAAAGTCTGATCTTCTTGATTCCAAGTCAATACAGTATGCACCACAAAAGCTGAGGATATTAAGCTGACAGTAGATTTACTTAAATATGTCAGTAGAAGAGAGATAAGGGGATAATGAAGCTAATAGTATATACTACTACTCTACTTGGTTGACTCAGTGAAGCTGCAGGCAGCAGAAGATGATAAGTTTATATTTATTTCAGTACATTTGGTCCATATGGATCTCACTGGCGGTTGTTTTAGTTTGCTCACTGCTTGTTCCCCCCAAGAACAACATTGACCAGACAGTCCATCCTTCCTCACAAGTCACAACGATATTCATGCATCACGCTAACTCACTGCTCAATACTAATTCTGAATCTCATCTCACAATATTTATTCATGTGAGAGATAAAGGATGCCTGACAGTGGCATATCAGAGCATACATGCATGCATGCATGCTCTAGAGATTGGTAACTCTGACACCGATGTTAGCTGGTAGCTTGACAAGTTCAGGCCTCGACAGGCACCCTGCAGGGCTCATGTAATCAAAGATCTGATCTGACTATAAACGGTTAGCAGTCTGTCTCTAGTTATTCATTGCACTCAGTACTACAGCCTATAAATTTATATAGAAAAAAATAAAAAGGAAAGAAGAAAGTTCAGGCATTCATTTCAGTGACACAACTTAATCTATAAATCTTCTGCACTCATTCTTTTAAAAAAAATAAAGTCCTGTCTACATTTCTTGCGGAAATGAAGAGTATATGATAGTCACAATGCAGAAGTTATATCTTGAGAGCAGCTACAAATGATTCAGTGTTAGAAATCTTTTATTGTGTCTTGTACATGAGCATTGCGCAACTGAAAGCTAGTCCAAAATCAGCCAAGCAACTAGAATCGTCGTTTCGGCATCTAGTCCATGCCTCGGATACTCGACAACGAGCACAAATTTTTAAAGTACCTTCAGACTGATATCCTAACACTTGATATGTGGACGAGGCCCTTCTTGTTATTGCAAAAGAACAAAATAACAGATCACACGCCTCGTTCAACACTATTAAAGATATTTGAAATATGCATGGTTTGCATTGGTTGGATAAGATCATAAGAGCAGAACACGAAACCAACGCACAAATGGAGATCAGGATGCCGTCTTTTCGATCTATGCGAGATGGTTTGAGGTTGTGGCCAGGGCGCTGCTCGAGGTCGAAACCATGGCGTCGCGCATTATTTTGAGGTATTGCCTTGACAAAACTTGTGTAGTTGTGAAAAATGGACTCTAGAAATGCATACTTTGTTTCATATTGTATTTTTGTTGAAATATTTCCTCCATTATAAGCAAGAACAAGACTTTAGAGCATCACTCATATCAGATAGAGATGGCACACAATAAATACTCATTCAATAAAATAGACTGAGGACATGTTTGGCAACAAATTTTCACTGATGACAAGAATACATTAGATTTCCACACAAACAAAGCCATTTTGACATGTGCTACTTCTGAACCAGCAACATGTGCTATTACTGACATATTGTAGACCCTTTCCCATGTACAATTAGGCCAAGTTATGTCACAAAAGACTATAGTTAGTCCTGTCCAAAATGCTATCTAACCAGCCTATACATATTAGAACTGAAGGTTATCATTACCGCAATTTGGAGCTATCATGAGCTAAGTAAAACTGCAAATAACCATTGTAATCTTGAGATCCTAGAATTGCTTCTTTGTTGCTGCCATTATTCCCCAATTCGACTTGGGGCTGTAGAACATCGTTTTTCTTTTGTTGCTGACAATGAAAAATCAACTAATTAGTTTATATTTGAATGATAACAATGGGTGTAAATGTATAGGTTGCAAGTTTGCAATATACCTTGCTCCTTTTTTTGGTATGGCAGATTTTATTTGCTTTCATCACCCCTTGTGCTGTGACTTATCGATCCAAGTCCTCTTTCTCTTGGAATTTTTTGACTGAACTTCCTTTTTCTTTAGCTTTGCAGCACTAAGCAAATCATATCTTTGGCTGGCATTTGGGTCAACATTTGAATTTCCAAACCTCAAACCAACTTGAGGTGTTCCCTTATCAAGTTCTGCCATTGCTTTTCATAAAACCAAATATTCCTTGTCAAACTATGTCCCAAAGAATATAAAATATTGCAAATAATTAATAGCACATGATTGCAGATTTGGATTTTTGATCAAGCAAAACATTAACTGTAAACAATAAACAACACATAGATCAAGCAAATCTTTTGGTACTCAATTTGCATGTCAAGATAGATAGATGCAGAGTAACTAGACTACTTCAGTTTTTGCTACTCATTGGTACTCAATTTCATAACACAACCCTAGCTTGATCACCGTTCAAGAAAAGTGTAATAGCAAAGAAAGCAAGCTACTCTTCCAGCCTGAAACCAATCAAAATCTTAACAAATAGCATCCCAGGACCATAACCTTAGGTCCATCACATTCTGAAAGGAAGCTATTAGGGATTCTGTTTTGAATCTATTGCAAGTTGGTGAGGCAACTCTCAGGGGTGGGCTGTTGCCAGTTGGACAGTGTCCCAGCGTCTGTGCTGGGCTATGGGCACAGCACACGTGCGCGATTGAGAGGCCACTCCGCCTGTCTTCACGGAGAAAACCTACAGTCTCTGGTAGGAAAACCATAATGACTCCGATAAACGGAGGGGCTGAGGGGAAGAAGTTATGGTTAGGGCCAAAGTGGACTTTTTAGGCCAAAACGGGCCTCTTTATAATTGGCTCTATTTTCATAGGCAAAAGGTTGTCTCTGTTAAAATATTTTAAGAGGCAGGTTTGAGTTGGTTGTCTCCATAATTCTGAAGAATGCCTTTGAAATTCGTTGTTGATTTTGGGACACCGATTTTTTTTGCTCGCCTCTGAAAATAAAACAGGTTGTCTCCTGAAATTGTTTTGATAGTAGTGCACCACCGAGCCCACCGATGCCGCTGCTGCCTCGTCACCATGATGGAACCCATGTTGCGCCGTCGTGGAGTCTACTGCTGTCGTGGAGCCCACCCTATCACCGTTCTACTCATGCCATCTCAGGCTCGGTGCACCATATGATCCAGTGTGACTATGTAACACGCCGTCATATGAAGGGAGTATTACATTATATTCTCAACTAGCCATTACAGGAATCGACCACGTTACCTCCATTGTATGATCAAGTGCAGGTAGGAGGCACGCGGATCATCCGGTGATGTCTGCATCTGACAACTTTTTTCAATGGCTAGCAATCTGTTCACCCTCAATATAAGTGCTTCCCCTGGCTCATTTGGATGTTCTCTTGCACCCCATTATATTGTTGTTGGCACTTATAGAGAGAATAGTGAAACATTTGAAGAGCCATCTAAGTCAATAAGTGAAGAGTTAAATGTTAGCCTTGAGTGCTACTATGTTCTTGCTTGGGCTTCTTTGAGTTGAAGCTCAAAGACTTGTTACTCTTGTTGATTGCATCAGCTAGGTGTCCCGATATTGAAATTCACCGGGCCGGACTGTCAAACGAGTATTCGCTAGTGGATGGAAGCTTAATTGAGTCTTTGTGACTCCTTTGTGCTCCAACATGGATTAGGGAGTTTTGGCAACAGCCAAAAACCGTGGGGAAAAATCCGATAGTCTCTTTATTATTCTTGCATTATTTCTATCTTAGTGTGATCATGAATTTCTCTTTAATTAGTTGTATACCTTGTATGTTGTAGCAAAAAGTGTGTGAAGCTCATAATAGATGTGGTTAGCTTGCTCCTTTAGTTATCTTTGTAAGGATATGTTTAGAATGTTGGCCCTAAGGATTATTTAGTATGTTTTTATAGAAAATTAAGGTGTCAAGGTGCAAAGGGCATTAAGAATTTCCATAGACTAAGATTGTTGCTTTAAATTTTTAGAGCTCGATTCAAACCCTTCTCTTAGTCATTCGTCCTTACAACCGAGATTCAAAAGAGGAGGACATTGATAGGAGTGAAAGAAAGGAAGTAAGGGTGGGACTGAGAATGACGGACGGAGGGATGGCAGGAGAAATTACCTTACTGTAATATTAAATTTAGATTTTCAAATTTGAACCTTTTTTTCCCCTTTTTGGTCTAGAAACTACTTACTGCATACTACAGTGAATTCCTGATTCCTAAAACTAGACTGTTGTGATCCTACTACTTGAGAATACACACAGCATATTAATATCGACATCATTAAAGAGGATTGAATAATGCTTGTGTTAATATCACATCAATCTTACAAAGTAATGTTACACGGAGATAAACAAGCACATTGGCTACCGTAGTAACTAACAATACACATATTGCTTCTTTTTCATTGTATATAAATAATGTGTCATTCAAAACTAATCATAGTTTCCAATAAATCCCTAATTTGTGCAAGACGCCTGCAGCAACACCCCAGAACACTATCTCACAGAATATGACATACAGAAGAGTTCCCAGCCGTTGCGAGTGCCAGACATTGACGAACACATGCTTCACGATCCAATTGACCTGCAGAAATAGAAAGAAAGAAAGAAATCAGCCAATGAAGTTCATTAGGTGACACACACCACCAGCTGGGTCCTGGAACAAAAACGGCTACAAACCATGTTCTTATTACGCCAAACTAATAGCCTCCGCCCATTACTTACAAGATTGTTATCTTCCGACTCGTAGTACCATCCATTCACAAATGCAGCCAGTATTCCCTGTGCTCCTAGGACAAACACAAGCATGGCGTTCATGCCTATCCACTCCAGGAAAAGGAATGGCGTCCTCAGTCCCCAGACATCAATCTGTCCATCAAAGCATAGATGTAAAGTTTTTTTATTTGTTATTTTCCTGTAACATGAAATCGAAGAAGTGTCATGTCTAAAATGTATACATAAACCGTACCAGTATATAGAAAGCTGAAAGAACAATTCCTGCTGCACCGCCTGTAAAGCAGACATAGCTGAAGCTGTAGAGCTGCTTGTTGATTGGGATGGCTGCAGGAGCAGAGAAATACATGTAAATCTCTGTCTAAGAATTGTAAATGGCAGCCCATGTCTCACAATAAATATGCATGGATAGGTACCATTTGTGAAGTGTAGGATAATGGCGACTACAAGGAGCGAAAAGCCCATCAGAAGCCAGTGCTTCAGTCTCTCCTTGTGAGTCTGCAAATAAGAAACTTTCTTGATCACATTGCACATTTGCATCACTTAAGAAGTCACAGGCGGAAGCAAGTTTTCAAGAATAACCTTGAAATGGATTAGAACATGCCCATAATGTATCCCGATTGTCCCTGACAGTACTGACGATATTGAACTGAAAACGGAAAAGATTGTCAGATACTTGAACGGTTGGCTGCAAATATTCAGCTTCTGCCAATGTACGTTGTCAGATGTCAGATATCCACCTTAACAAGCCTTCCGGTTCAAAAGGCGCAAGGCACCACGCTGGTGCATCTGCTCGCAAGGGACCCATGTTGGGTGAGCTTGATGTACAATCCTGATCAAAGTAATTTCAGATGTCCAATAGAAAAAAAAAATATTCATTAATTGTGACCGAGTAAAAAGAAGGATCAATGACAATGGCAAGTACGTAGGAAGAATTCTGTTGTACCTTTGATCGGATCCAAACTGGCTGTGTGTAGAGATGATTGATCCCCCAGACCTGCCTATCAACATAACCAACTGCGTTGCAGGCTTGCTCCAGGCTGGCCCTCACACCACATTTTACCTGCACGAAAACAAGCAAAAACTGTATCAAATATGACACATTTCAGTGATGATGGTATGGTATGCCCAGGAAAGTAACAGATACCGTAAATTGTTTCCCGTCATTGATGTCGCCATCATTGTGGTAAACAAAACTCCAATCCGGGACATATAGTGAGAATGTTGTAACCATGTATATCACAAATGCAATGAAACCACCTAACCTGTTATTTCCAGAAAGCATCAGGGATGTTACTCATTTTCAGAATCAAGAAAAAGCAAAATGGAAAGATATGTGAAGTACAGTGTTATTGAACTATCAGGAAGAATAAGAATCGTGTACCATTGCCATCGATACGCATTGAAAATGGCGTAAGGACCGGACCGCACCGTGGTAGGCCGTACCTTTACGGTGAATGCCTCTATCAGAGCAACAATGAAGTATACCAAAGCTATTCTCTGATGATCCAATGTGAAGAAAAGAAAAGAATCCAAGTTATTGCCATGAAATGTGTAAAGCTGTAGGTGGCAAAAGAAAATTATTGGTGACTGAACCAAACCTGTAGGATGCCCATCCATCTGATCTTCTTCATGTCCACTCCATAAGAGAGGTCATCCGGAGCATGAGAATATCCACCTTTGTACATATGAATATACCATCATATCCGACAGTTACAGAGTTTATTTCAACTAACAGATGAATGAACAAAAGCTGTGACAGAATCATAGTAATGAAAGAATTACCTTGGAGAAGCACACCCCAGAAGAGCATTTTCAGTGTTCTGATGGTAATCTTCTTCACGGCGGCACCGATATTTGGAACTCTCTGCAATCACGTTCATGTGATGATCAGCTCTCTGCTAGCATGAAACATTCACTTGCGAAACAGCAAGTGGTACAGAGTATTGACGCTTGCTATTTTCCTCTGGCAATGTACTACATCTGTGACGAATAATCGACCGGTGCAAGAACCTATGCATTATGGAAGTATCAGTTGAAGAGTGTATGTGCTTGCTCACCTTCAGTGCGAAGGCGATCGCAACACCAACTATGAAGAGGAAGAACGGCAGGACGAAGTCTGCCAGAGTGCAGCCGTTCCATGGTGAGTGGTCAATCCGCTCATAAGCCCCACCGGCATCGTCCACCAGTATCATAAGCTGCAAGCAAGGAAATTCAACAGTTTATATGATGGTATTTAAATAATTCTGGGTTCATAAAACGAGGGCTGAATACATCAGATCCTTAGCAAAAACAAACGAGTATAGTTACTACTCCCAAACTCCTTATCCTCATTTTGACCTCCCATATACATGGAACTTTCTTAAATCACTTCTAAGGTCATGGAGGAGTTTGTCAACTAGAAATTAATACTGTGTGCCACAAAACGAAAATCAAACTTTTCGGATTAAATAAAGAAGCAAAAAGTAGATATGGGCCGGTGGGTGTATGTATGTACCACAATGGTTAGCCCTCTGAAGGCATCAAGAGCTGCCACTCTTCTGCTCTTCTTCTTCTGCACGTCCTCAGCCACAGCCACCCTCTCCTTCTCGATGTCCTCTCCCTTGCCATCACCATGCTCGGCATGGCCAACGTCAATGGCGTGCTGCTCTGGACCCTTTTCACCATCTGATGCTGCTATCTCCTGCCCCTTCTCCATATTCACCGTCTAGGCATGTGTGTATGTGGCTTGTGCAGGCTTAACTTGCTTAGATTCTAGCTACAACTTGAAAATTGTAGCATTATAACATGGAAACGGATGCCCATAAATGTGACTTGGATACTTATCGATGAGCCATGTATGTTCAAGTATGTCACATTCGTATATATAGTTATATACATACAGCTATCTAGTTACAATAACTGTATGTGTCTTGCAGACCACAAAGTGCTGTTTATTTTGGTATAACTAGTTCAGCTGCTAGCTAGATTAGTCTGGCAGGGTTGCCGTCCTGCAGTAGGTGAAGTAACTGTTTTTCCATGGGAGTTTGTCACTTTCCATGATTCATTTCTTGGAGTGGCTTGGTGTCCTCTGTTTCCAAGTGTCGAAACCTTGCAGATTCCACCATGTAAAATGCCTTCACATGGAAACATAGCTATCAAGGGGACAAGTGTAAAGTAAGATAAGTTTGTGTGTTAGGAAATGTGCCCATGTTCTTTGGAACAACATATATAAGATCAGGGACTATGGCAAAGCAAACTAAGGCCCCTTAGGAACGACCAAATCTTCCTGAATCCGAGGAAAATTTGAACTGCTTCTTGCGAAAGTTTCGTGTTAATTTGACCAAAATGTGGCATGGGACTCGGTATATATATACAAGCTAATCTTGTCCGCAAGGAGCGTTTGAAAACGATGTCTTACACCTGTACTTTGAGCTAAGGAGATGCACATATGAGGAAATTAAAGATTCTTACTCGAAAGCTAAGGAAGGCAAAAGTCAGATTTACAGGTTTAACAACAGGGGGTCGTCTAGGGCAATTGGGCAAACAAACAATCTCTATTTTTTAGGTGTTCTTATCTTGAAAAACGATGGAGCGAGCGTCACGTACGTACGTCGTCTTGGTATTGGAAAATCAATCCGTGTGGAAGACGACGGCCATCGCCGGCTGCGTTTGGACGCCGCTACACATCTTTGTCATTGTCTTGGAGCATCCAGTTGAGGATGTTGCTCCATCTGGATTCAAACGGGTGAACCCAAACTCTTGCACAGCGAGAGGACCATAAAGAAATCTAGCAGGAATGTGCCGTACCAATGCAATAATGTAATCGGTGATGACAGCACTATCATCTTGTGGTTTGAACGATATGGCAATTGATGCTTTTTACATTCAGTGTTTAGAATACCGGATTTTTTTTTTCATGGAATCCAATAAAATTCCTCTGTTCCAAACAAGCCCTCAAGAGTTGAGCATGAAGGCTATGTTCGTCTCAATATTTAGGCTCTCTTCGGCAGGCTTGGTATCTCCAAATACAGTAAAGTCAAAGAAAACTACATTTCGTAGCTTCGGTTTTTTTGTGTGAAAATGAATTCAACATCATCATTTTTATGCTTGGTTTTTTAGATTTGCAAACCTTTTTTGTACGTGTGCATATTTGGTAAGGCTTTTGATTAACCCAATGGACAAGTCCTAACAAAAGCCCCGCCAAAGGAGGTTCTCGAAGCAGGGATAGCTTCTCTTTCCTGGAACAAAATGTGGCGAAAATGGATTGGAAGTGTTTTTGGATGAGATTTAGGAATCGCCTGGGCATATAGGTACGGCCGAGTCCATCCGATTTGAATTGATTAATTAATTGTTTGCTTTAGAGTTCTTGCAGTTTTTAGAGGAAAGGTCTAATAGAGCATAAGTGCATTTTTTTTAGGGGAGCATAATGCATAACTCAAGGAAAAGCAGAGGATGAATGGTAGGCCCAATAAGATGCAGCTCCTGAAGTCGAAAGGCCCATGTTGGCAGCGCAGCCACATCACCCCTCCCAGATCCCCACAAACCACCACGGCCTGGGCCCAAACCCGGATTTCCCCGCGTGGTTGGGCCTGCCGCTCTCACGAGCACGCTGCTGCCGCGCGGGCCCAGGTGGGCGGAGTTCCCAAAGCTGAAGCACGGGCAAAGCCGTTGAGCCGCCACAAACGCATGAACCAGGGCCATTCCAAACATTTTCCCTCTTTATATAAAATCCAAATTACTTATATATTAGATAAAAATGAATAAAGGCACCGGGACATTTTACGAATGACGAAGGAAACGCGCATAGAGCTCGCGTACAGGAGAAGTTCGCTGGCGGGAGCAATCAGATGAGCCACGCCCACCGCCCACGCGGTCCGGTCGGCCGCTGCCGTGTCGGCCATCTAGTGGTCCGGACGCTACAGACAGCCCGCTCGTCCACGTCATCGGTTGGCGAGCTGCGTCGCAACGCCATGGCGGATCGGCCGTGGACCACGGATCGCGGCCCCTTCCCTCCCTCCTCGCCCGCCCGCCCTTTCCGTTTCGCCTGCCAAGAAACACCGCCGTGCGCGTGCCGATCTCGAGTACAAGCGTACAACCACCGACGCCCGATGGGTACCGCACGACGAGGTCGGACCACAATCAGGGTTCGGTTCACCTTCTTCTTGCGAGAGTAGAATCTCAGCAGGCTATTAGCGTGCCAGGTTTTACGGCTCTGTTCGTTTGTCCCGTAAGTTATATTTTTTTAACGAAAAAACAATATTTTTTCTCGCAACAAATTAGTCAATAGCACTATTCATCCGGGCTTTTCAGAATGGGGCCTATGCGTCCGAGAACGAGAAGGAGAACAGTGGTTGATTGGACGATCAACTCCGACTGCCGGAGAAAGTAACGCCCGCTGCCGGCCTGCCACCGACCGATCAACTCCGAGACCTGCAGGCCGGCAAGCCACATATCAAGGCGGCGTTGGTTCCGGCGGCATGGCTTGACGGCAGCCGCTCCCCGCTCCAACCCGTCGGCCCGTACCGGCGCTACATGAAAACTGTGGACGGTGGTCAACGCTCCAGCCACCCGGCCGGGGTAGCCGTCTCCATCAATCAGCGGGCGCGGCGGGCCCAGCCTGGACGCCAGAACCGCTGGCGGGCGGCGGCCTTATCCTCGTCGCCTTTGCCTGGCTTCAGGTTCGGGGGACCGGGCGCACACGGACACACCAGCTGGAGGGGGGACGGGCGATGCAGATCAACAACAGATGGGTGGCGGTGGCGGTGGCGGTGGCGGAGGCGGACGGAGGGATGGCTCTTGATGAAGGCGAAGCTTCACCCCACCCTCCGACTACAATTTTTTTTAAAATATCACCTGGCAATGTCAACTCTTCTGCTCCGATTCCTTTGTTGGATTGATCTATGGACGAATGCCAGCTTAGATTGCAATCAAGCACAGCCGTTGTGTAGTCAAGAGAAATGATAAACAAAGACACTGTTCGCTCGTTCGTTGGTTTCAGCTCGTAGTCAGCCAACGGTTTTTCCTTTCCCAAATAATCAGCTTTCAGCTCGTAGGCAGCCAACGGTTTTTCCTTTCCCAAATAATCAGCATCAACTGAACTTATCAGCCCAGAAACTGATTAGCGAACAAGCTCAAATTCAAGATTTATGTTTTCGAGATTATGCGCCTTGTGTTCAAGGACGGCAGTTGCTCAACGCTGGCAATGGAACAAACCATTGTTGAGACGAGGATCTGCTGCAAGTGCTCATCGTCAGTCATCGCCATGCGCGAGATCACACACGCAGGATCAGGCGAACTTGGATCGCAGGCACAAGTGTATGTAGTATGTACAGTGGTTTTTTATTACTAGTACTCGGCTAGCAATAGCAAAAGCATGGCTGTAGGACAAAAGAGCAACAAGAAACAGTCTGTGTCCTTCACCTCGGGACAAAAACACCACACTCATCTCTCATCCAAATTCACACTCACCACCAGCAACAAAGCAGGAATCTTTCTCTCTTTTTTCAGTCTCTCCACCCATGGCTCCACGGATCTGGCTGGCGTCCACCGCCTCCTTCCCCTTCCTTGGATGGCAGGACATAGTAGTAGCAAGCAGATGCGCAGATCCATGGAAAATGAGGCGCAGATCTCGACCAGATCCAGCAATGGCGGAAACGGTGCACGGACATAGGAGTACGTACTAGTACTAGTAGTAGCCTTTTTCCTTTCCTTTACGTCTCATGATCGCGGACGGATGGGATGAACAAGATCCAGATCCTCAGATCCGGACGGAGGCGACGGAGAAGACGAAGCCGGCGAACTCGGGCGGCGGGCGCACGACGGTCCAGCTCTTGGTCTTGACGTCAAACACCCACACGGCGTGCCGCCCACCGCCGCCCTCCCCATCAAGCGCACCCGTGACCACGACCTTCTCCCCACCTCCGACGCAGACGGCGCGCGCCGTGCCGGCCTTGAGCCCCGGCGGGTACGGCCCGACCTCGCGCCACCCGCGTCTTGTCCCCATCCACTCCATGACGGCGTTGCCCTCGATGCACCAGACGCGCCCTTTCACAACGACGTGGGCCGCCGAGGGCGGCGCACGGACGCGCTCGAGCCTCCGCCACGCCCCGGCCGCCGGGTCGAACCACTCGGCGTCGCGCTCGAACCCGCCCTGCCGCGCCGTGCGGTACCCGCTGACGGCCAGGAACCGGTCGCCCTCCACGGTCGCCATGCCGTCGCACTCGTCGCGCTCCTCCGACATATCGGGGAGCGGGTCCCACGCATCCGCCGAGGCGTCGTAGGCCTCCGCCGTCTTGAGCGCGTTCTTGTGCTTGTCGTGCCCGCCGGCCACGTAGATCTTGCCGCCCGCCTCGGCGCACGCGAAGAAGGACCGCGCCGACCGCATCGGCGCGCCCCGGCGCCACCGCCCGGTGGCAGCGTCCAGGACGTGCACGTCCGCGACGGGCTCGAAGGTGCGCGGGTCCCAGCCGCCGAGCACGGCGAGGCGCGTCCCCACCGCCGCGCACTGCGCGAACACGGGCACCACGGGCGGCGCGCCGCGCTCCCGGCGCCACTCGCCGGTCGTCACGTTGTACACCGCGACGCCGTACGCCGGCGTGTTGGCGGGCCCGTCGTCGTCCTTGGGTTCGGCGTCGGCGGCGGACGGGTTCCCGAACTGCATGAGGTAGACGAGGTCCTCGTTGGCGCCCGCCTGCGCGCGCGCGGAGGCGAAGGCGG